AGTACGAAGCTTTCACTTGCATCGTGGAAGTCGATGTCGGTCTCTTCCTTGACTTTGTTGAGAGCAAGTTTTATTTCTTCACGGGTGTGGTTTTGTAACACTTCATCGTGGATCCAAGCCGTTACTCGTTGAAAGATCTACATAAGAATAACATTCATTTACAGACGGAAAAATGTGATAGGTACTTAAAATCAAGAACTAAGAAATCGTAAATTCCGATATGTTTCTGACAAATTCACTGCAAGCGTCGTTCGCACTGATTTTATTAGAACTTTTACCACATTCTTAGCATTCAATTATTTTTTAACAAGTCTACATCTTGAGATTGAGGTTCATTGTTGGCGAAGGACAAGGGCGTTGAAATTGGTTACTATGACAGAAATAAGAATAATGGCTATTAGTCTCAACTTACCTCAGGGGCGTTTGCTGTTTCAATCTTCACCTTCTCGGACAACGAGTCAACCTTCAGCGGTACATTATCAGGACTGAGAACCTGCCTTTTTTTTACCACAGATTCAGCAACTGAAAAAAAAATGAAAACAGAAGTTCAAAATGGGGGGTCAATCATCTGCTAATATCTGGTCTCTTCATCCAGTGATAAGTTGGTATTCATAGTAGGCAATTCATTTGGCTGGGTCACATCAAGTCAGCTTACTAAAAGGCTCTTAAGAATTAGAAAAGATTTATGAAAGATGCAAATAGACTGGTAGAATAATGATGAATCTGGGTCCAGTTGCTTGGCTTCAACCCTTGCTGGATGTCATAAAAAATTCCCCAGAAAAAAGCAGAATAATTATGTATTAACTAAAATTTTAAAGAAGATAGTTTTTTTAATCATTTTCTCAATGTGAGCTCATCAGTCATTCCTGACTTACTCAACTATGGCAACTGGGTATCATTTTACAAGAAACTTTAGAGCTTAAGAAAATGTTAATCAAATTGTCTTACATGATGCATGACTACACACTGAATATAACTGGCAGTCTTTCTCAAAATTCTCCCCCTTTATGTTTATGGATAAACAATATGTTCTAATACCAAACAGTATTTACATTTATGTTTAAACTGTATTGCTCATTCACTTGTTCACTTAATCTGGACAACATGATTCTCAGATGTGACTGTTGGTATCTCAAACACATTACAGTGATATTCTGATAGTAAGCATAGCTATTTGTCTCTCATAAAAATGCCAATTGTTAGATTTGACAAGAGTGGTGAGCCCTGAGGATTGCTTACAGAAAATTGGTTCTGCAGGTTTTTTTTTTTTTGAGCCTGGTCAGGCTACTAAGGAGGCTGATTGAGACCTCTCTAGGTAAAACAATCTCACTAGGCAAAAAGTGCATGGAAACAGTACTGACAGATAATAGGAAAAGTTTGCCCTCCTAACTAAGCAAGCCTATATTCCCAACGCAGTATAAAGTACCTTACAATCTTAACATTAACTCTGAATTAGCTAACACTCTGAATAACATCACCAGATTCATGATCATATCTCATAACTGAAAAACCTGGCACTCCCTATCTTTAATCTTATTTTGTTTTCATAACTTTTTGAAACCTGTGATGTATTGGGTCAGCAGTTGCCTTACATGCATGCCCATTGAAAGGCAGCCTGACTGGGAGAGCTTCCATGTTTTAATGAACGTGTTTGTTTTATTGCTTTTTAAAATCTGGTTCAATCGGTTTCTTTTAAAACCATCATTGGTTCCTCGATATTTAACAAAACCATATTGATATCCTCACAAAATACTAATCAAGAGGGAGACAATGATATTAAGTATTGATTAAATACAAGAATAATCTTTCCCTTTTTTAAAAGCATAGTATCTTTACTACATGCAGTGAACATAGCACAACTCATAAAAATAACATGGTAACAAGGTTTATTGACAGATTCCTTTACCTATCACAAGGGCTTTTTCCAATTTACAAGCCAATCAGCATACACAAGGTTAAACTCAACTTACTTTCAGACAAAAATAATTTTGGTAAAGGGAACATTTTTATATTATTAATTGCCTGTCAGAAGTAGTGCGAAGCTTTTCCTGAAGCTAAGGTAATATGTAAAGTTGAGATCTCTGCATTTGCTACTCATAAAATGTTTCATTTAAACATGAAATTTATCATAATTGATAATAACCTGAACACTACATGTTGATCTGTGTGTGGATACAAACTTTCTTCTCATTAAGATAAATTTCTTACTCATTTGCACAGCTAGCTCATTTATGAGAGATGCACTGTATTATCAATAAAAACAGATAAAATTGGTATTCAACTACACAGCTCAGAAGTACATCCAACCCCAGTCTAGTATGTATGAAAAAGTGTGATGACATTCTTATGAAAACAACAATAAAATGTTCATCAAATAATTTACGATAGCCAATGCTTGATTAAAAGACTTAATAGTGCTTTTAATGCACTTGACACAACTTACATCGTACGCTAATCAGAGCAAGTCAAGTTACTGGAGCTTTGATAGTCAAATTATACTGCATAATGATTTGATAAGCAAACACAGCAATCTGATGCAAACTACAGTAACTACAATGAAATAAATCTTAAACATGCACAGATCACAAAAATTGAAGATATTCCCAGAACAACCATCAAGAAACAGGCAAAATGTCTCATATAAAATGCAATTCAGTCATCAGTTCACAGTTGAAGGGTGCAAATCCCTGTGGAAAACATCTTCAAATGGATATTTTAAATATGTCCGTAAGTGAAGCAGGACACTGATTTTCAGCAAGAGAATTGAATGATAATTTGTTACGCTCGGTCAGGGTATCATTCCACTCATAAGCATACAAACAATGTTTTTAAATGTAATAGGATGAGTTTATGTAATGGAGAAAATCTCCAAAACTCCAATTGTGGAAGTGTGTGTCTAAGCTTTTGGAAATGAGTAAATCTATGTTTTAAATGGGAGTTCAAAAACTAATCTATCAAAAGGGAGAGCTGAGCACCTAAAAGAGTTTCTACTGAGAGAGCTCCAACTTTATTACTCTGACCAGTATCTGCTAAATTCTTAGTGATGAAGGACATGAAAAGTTGAAAAGAATTTTAAAAAAGATGCATATAATAATGTTAAGTTAATCACTCTGGAGGTGGACCTGTAAACGTAACAGCTACCAGTTGCAAGCTTTAGCGTTCAGTTGCGTGGAATGGTTTTAAATCTTTCATAATTATTATCTTTTGGAAATGTCGACAAATTTCTCTTTCTTGAACAAGATGCATTGTAATCATAACTCTTGATTCGATATGCCAGAATTTTCGTCCAATTCTAGATCGAACTTTCTTCAAACAGTGCAGGTACAATATAGTGTAAAACTTTGCTTATCGAAGCAGATTTAACAATCTTTCATTTCGAGCCTGCCAGCGATCAACCTGATGAAAGAGCATATCAAGCCCCTTGGTCATTTCTGAATTGAAAAAAGAAATACTTAAGACAAACTATTTGACGATAAGATCCCGTAAAAGCGAGGTCATTTCACGAGGCAAGTCTATTTAAAGGAAGGCTTCCTTAAAACAGAGAGTAAAGTGTTAATTGATCAAGGTTCTCTCGTGCTCATTGAGCCTATCCAAAAGAAAGCAACAAACTAAGTCACCGATGAACGATTTAAATATTACACATTCGCTTTCATAATACCTGATGGATCGTCGAAAATGATGACTGCGAATCTCTCTTCTGTAATATGAAGACATTCGATATCTCCGCCACCATATTTACGTTTCTGGAAATGTATCACCAGCTCGCTCGCCGTTGTATTCGATGGGAAGCCAGTCACATATATCCCCCTCGATGCATTGTCTTTGTTTACGACAATATCGTCTTTTTCGAGATCGCACTTGCCGTTCTCCATTCTCAAAGCCTACCAAATTCTCTTTTGTGAAGCACCACACAACAAAATTTCAGACTGCTAACTTGAAAAGTGAAACTTCGTTAGGAAGCGGAAGTGGATATTCCGGGAATCCGCGCACCGAATTCCCGGAAAAATCCTTTTACTATCTTCATGAAGTACCTTGAAATTGACTCGATCCAAAGAAGCCTGGTTTTAGATGAGAAGTGCACCAAAAGGTTTATCTTTCACAAATTAGACGAGAGCGAAAAATTCAATAATCAGCATGTTTCAGAGAAAAATTTGGTGTGCTTTAAATCATTTTGTCAGCGCTTTCTTCCGCGCAGGCTTTATGCCTCGGTTTCGTGACTCAGTACTAGTCCCACTCTGCCTATTTCCACGAAATGTGAACAACACTAAACCCTCTGTTGCGTCTATAGGAACTTAACAGCCTATAGAGCATTATCGCGCAAGTCTTTGTTGCATTTACCACTATGGCAGAGATGAATCATCATCCAGAGTCAGTCAAATCCCAGCTAGGACATTTGAGCGTCGAAAAGTTGGCGAGAACTGTGGTAATATCGAACATACCGCGAGAAATTACAAAAGATGAAATTCATATATATTTCCAGAAAAGTAAACACGGCGGTGGAGAAGTTGATGATATTTGGATAGTAAAAGATGAGGAAGCGGTCATTGTCTTTGAAAACCCTGAAGGTAGTGTGAAATGTAGAATTTACTCATATGTTTAGTCTCTTATATGTCTTAGTTAGCGAAAAAGTGAAAACTAAGTGTGATCGCCGTCATATCACTTCCGGCTTCATTTCGTTTACTCCTTGTTTACTACAAACTTATGAAACTCGACTTGCGGAAATTTTACGTGAGATTGACCGAGGAAAAAATCCCCTCATAGACTTTTTGATCAAAATTCTTGTGCAGCTTTACGTTTTTTGTTGTTTCATCCGCTTGAATTCGCAAGAGTACAAAAACAGCTCCGCTGGCCTTTGGAACCTGAGGCAGTGTTTACCGATAGCGAAATTTACGTTATGAGGAGTAAATGAAAGGACTTTTGAATGTGTAAGTGGCGGGTTGTCACTTCTTAAAAAGAAAAAAAAAAGCATTTTGAGCTCATGAGAGAAATCTGGAACGAAAAAGAGACCGTAAGCATTGAGCTCACAAAGACTTATGGTTTCTAAGATTCAGACCTCAAACTTTTCAGCAGCTGAACTTAATTCCAATATGAAGTAGTTCAAAATCACCTGTTGACTGAGACGCCGACCCTTTCTAACCATTCCCATCAAAGGTCTAAGACTATTGTAGCACTGAAAGTCATTACGGTGTACGCAATGTGGTTAGGCTTATAAAAATTTCGGCGTCTGAATCAATGCCGGTTTGAAGCCAGTCTAACAAGTTTCCAGGTTAGCTAGGCGAGAAAATGGCTAACGGTCGTTCCAAATTCAAGTAGCAGTTTTTAAGTGTTTCAGACGCCGACCTTTGTCATTATTTTATTCAAGCTGTATTATAGGTTCGGCTCGTGAGAAGTTCGGTATTTAAACCTGTGATGTAACGGAGATAGCTTGCTAACACGTGTCGCTCGTGAGTGACACGAGCTACAATCTTTGTTTTTGCTTGCTTAACATACTAAGCAAGGTTATAAGCGAGCAAAACATCAAGTCTACTCTCATATTCAAAACTGTGCAAAATCGATGAACTCAGGATAAAGTGCGTTGCTATACAAAATATCAAACCAAACTTTGTCTGAGTTTGACATTCTTCAGTTAACGATGGCAATAGTTCAGACCTGATATAGCTTAACAACAAAGCAGAAGGGAGTTTACATTTACGTTTTACAATAAGATGATTTTTTATCTGAAAAAACTATATATAACTTGTGCAGAAGAAAAAAGAAACATCGAAGATATCACCCTTCTGTGGTTTCCCTGCCGAATGATCAGTACTAATTATTATGACTAAGTTGAAATAGGTTATTGTGCATGCAATAGTTTTACAAATATTTCAAATCCATTCTTTCACTGGTTTCTCTTCTTAGATTAACTTTAGGACTGTGACAATGTATCCGTATCTTACGAGGAAATAAGACTGTCGTCGCTGTTTGTTTGTTTGTTTGTTTGTTTTTTTTGTCTTAGTGAAATAGGCAGGAGATAGAACCTGTATATTGGGGTATTTTGTTGTCTGTTTTGTTCTAAAAATTAAATTCAAGACAACGAAACATTATTATCATCTTTTCCTTCTTTATTAGTCGCTGACAGTGTATTAAAGCGCTCTCACGTGCTTGGAGGCAAAAAGGTGGATCTCAGACCATACAATACCCAGGTAACGATTTAAAGATAGTCCGTAAAGAAACTAGGAAGGTAATTGATAAGATATATTTTTTTAACTAGTAAATTTCCATTGACTGAGACTAATTTTATACTACCAGAACCTTTGTCCTCTTTCTTCTGATCATTTCGTTTGAAGCGTTACACCAGACTAGAGAATACAGCAAATGATTCTTTAGGTTGATTACAACCTCTATCGACCTCTACACTGTCTTTAGGAAAAACTTACCTTGAACAAGATAAGCCAACGAAGGAGCCTGGGTAATGAGAAGAAGAAAGCTTTCTCTCAGTTTTTCCATTTGCTATTCGCTCTTTTTCTCTTTAAATATTTACTATCCCCTTTTGCTTCGCTTTGTGAATCGTTTGTGGTTCTTTCGTAGTTCAGTTGCAGAATTCAACTTGAAATGACGAAAATGCCCGAAAAAGGCCACAGCGATCACTTGATCAGTCTAACGTTTCATCCATAGTTTTAAGTGCTCTGTGTGGATCTAAACTGACCTATATTAGTGTAGTAATCTCTTGTAATTAAGTACAGACATCAATAATTATTGAACTGCAGCTGCATCAAGAGCACCTGAGGGCTCTGCCACGTAGCAATCAGCAGTGCTTGGTAAACACACTTTACCTTTTTATTATTGCTTTTATCATTTTGTTTATCTCAATTGGACAAGCCTATTTCTGACAATGTAAAATGGGCACTGAAAAGAGTTTCTAAAGATGATGTTTCGAGCGTTAGCCCTTCGTCATTCGCTCTGACAGCGCTAATGCTCGAAAAGTCAGCTATAGAAACTCTTTACGGTGGCTAGTTGACAAAATCAATCCATCTTGTCATACCACCCACCGACGCAGTACTGTAGCTTCTTCTGAAACTTACTTCCCATATTTCTGACATTGACAGGTTTTCTCGCGCGTTGCCGCTTTTGTGAGTTTCGGCACGATGTCACCTCGGAAGTCAGAAAGCCTGCTCGAAATGATGAAGGAAAAGGTTGACGTATCATGGCAATCCAAGGGTCATAATGGATTCGTTCTCTTGGGATCGATTAATCAACTAGAATTTGCTCATAGATATTTGCAAGAATTTTTTCTTCGGCGCCCATACCTGCTGTTTAAGGAAGAAAGAATGGTGCAAGGAGAAGATACCGTGAAGGCTCGACAAAATTCTCCAGAAAATTTTGAACAGGCCAAGAAAGACTCCCAGAAGATTGTTGAAGAGTGCACCTTTGAAGTTGAACCAAAGTTCATGAAATTATTCAAAAGGGTACACAAGGAAAAACTTGAACAAATAGAAAGGGAAAGCCACTTGAAGATAGTTTGGGCTGAAAATGAAGCTCGAGTTAAGATCAAACCTACACCTCTAACCAAAGAAACACACTATCAAGAAGGATGCAATGCTTTCATTGATTTGTACCAAACCGTTCATCAGTCCATGAAGCGACAAGTGGTTGATATAGAAGACATTCACGATGATGAAAAAATCAAGGAGTCGATTGCATTCGTGGAGAGCAAACATCCCGTCGTCATTGAGAAAGTAGAAGGTCTGTTAATCGTTTACAGCGAGGAAATTCATCTTAAGAGCTCAGTAAAGGCTCTTAAAAAAATGCTTGGAATGTCAAAAATCAGGGGCGACAATCCAAGGCATGGTCAAAGGAACATACGTCATTCGTCTCACCATCATGAACAGCCATTACCTATCATTACCAAGATCCTTCAGCAGACTTTGACAAATAACGTTAGATTATCTTTATACCAGGGAGACATAACTGATGAGCAAGTTCATGCCATTGTCAACCCAGCTAACGCATGGCTTCAACATTCTCAAGGTGTTGGTGGTGCAATTGTGAAAAAAGGAGGGAGTCAAATAATGCATGAATCTCAGTATATTATGTCTCATCGTAATGTTCCTCTACAACCTGGTGAAGCTGTTTACACCGGAAGTGGGAAAATGGCTTGTCACTATATAATTCACACAGTTGGGCCAGACTGGTCAGCCTATGCAGATAAGAGCGTCGCTGTGACATTTCTTCGAGTGGCATGCATAAACTGTCTCCGACTTGCTGTGCGACTTCAGCTTTCCTCTATAGCCATTCCAGCCATCAGCTCAGGCAATTGTGGTATGCCAAAAGAAGTCTGTGCTGGGGCAATTTTTCGAGCGATTGACGAGTTTAGCACAAGTATAGATGCAGAATGTAGCACTCTCCGTGACATACGTGTCGTTATCATCGATACAGAAACTGCTGAGGTCTTCCGTGGAGAATTCATTAACCATTACTACTCGAAACAAAAGACGCAAAATCAAATGGCAACTCAGAGAGGTCCATCCAGTGAGGAAGGAGAGAGCTCATTTTCCACTAACCGAGGAAGAGGGATTGATGACGAGCTACCTAATGAAAAACGTAAGAGTACACAGGATAATTTTACTGGATCAATGAGAAGACAGCACGGAGATAACTCCCATCAACGCGTTGAAGAGCAGCATCGGCACACTTTTGAGGAAAGCAACTTAAAAGCAGCCGAGTGGACTTTGGCAGACGGCGTTGAAACCCAAAATGTCGGAAGCGGTATGAATGTCAATACGCACACGGAGGAGGGTCGTGATACTGACGAACGATATGAGAAAACAGCAAGGAGTTCTGTAAAATCGGTGCCCGGTAGAGGAGTCCTTGCACCTAGCTTTTCTAGGAAAGGAGATGGTGTCACAAAAGGTGCCTCCGTTGAGGGAGTGATGAGCTATAAACCAACAAGGCCAATCAAGCATCCTCCTGGTCTCTCTGCGACAGAAGATGGCCTTGATATTGCAAAGAAACTCATGGGGGGAGAAAATAACGAGCAATTCACAGAAGCATGTGATGTCAAGAACGTAAATCGACCAGATCCGAATAAGCGGAACACAAACGAAGAAGAGGGTAAGCCGCCAGACAAGTCCGAGGATGGCAATGAACTTGTATATCTCTGCAATGATCTTAGTGAGCCCTCAGCAAGTGGTCCTGTGCATTCAAATTCGATGGGCTATACACCAACAAGAGCAATCAACCATCCTCCTGGTCTCTCTGCGACAGAAGATGGCCATAATATTGCAAAGAAACTCATGGAGGTAGAAAATAACGAGCAATTCACAGAAGCTTGTGATGTCAAGAACGTAAATCGACCAGATGCGAATGAGCAGAACAAAAATGAAGAAGAAGATAAGCCCCCAGACAAGTCTGAGGAAGGCAATGAACTTGTCTATCCCTGCAATAATCTTAGTGAGCCCTCAGCAAGTGGTCCTGTGCATTCAAATTCGACTGCCCCAAAGACAATACAAATGCCGCTTGAAATCACACCAGATCCTACCAATGCATCAGCATCAGGCAAAGTGAATGCACCAAATGATGTGCCATTATCAGCCGCGGGTACAACTCAAGGACCTGGACAGAACACAAGAAAAGAGAAGGAGCCAGGGGTATCTTCACGTGAGGCGTCTCCACCAGAGAGGGACGAAGGTAGAATATATAATGATGATTTTTTGATCGTCACTTGAATCAGTATTATATGTTGTGGCTGCCGTTATACAAGTAAAATCGGTTGTATGTCCGTTGATCGTTTTAATGTCCTCTATAATTAGTAAGTCAACCATACCCTCGAACTTACGTATCAGTTGTTCTCATCCCATAGTTTAAGGTCTTACCGTTAATTCTTCGCCATTTTTAAAAGAAAACAATTATTTGCTTGTCGTCGGTACAGTTATGTCTCTGGACTAAAAAATTCCCTTAAAATTCCAGATCAGTCAGAAAGGGATGTAAAAATACCACTTGAAATCACATCAAATCCTACAAATGCATCAGCATCAGGCAAAGTGAATGCACCAACTGATGTGTCATCATCAGGCGCGGGCGCAACTCAAGGACCTGGACAGAATACAAGAAAAGAGAAGGAGCCAGGGGTATCTTTACGTGAGACAGAAAGGGCAATACAAATAGCGCTTGAAATCACATCAGATCCTACAAATGCATCAGCATCAGGCAAAGTGAATGCACCGATTGATGTGCCATCATCAGCCGCGGGTATAACTCAAGGACCTGGACAGAACACAAGAAAAGAGAAGGAGCCAAGGGTATCTTCACGTGAGGAATCTCCACCAGAGAGGGACGAAGGTAGAATATGTAATGATGATTTTTTTTACCGTCATTTGAATCAGTATCATATATTGAATCGTGGCTGCCGTTATACAGGTAAAATCGGCTGTATGTTTGTTGATCATTTTAATGTCCTTACTAATTAGCAAGTCAACCATACCCTCGAACTTACGTATCAGTTGTTCTCATCCCATAGTTTAAGGTCTTCTCGTTAATTACTCGCCATTCCTTCGAAAACAATTATTTGCTTGTTGTCGGTAAAGTTTTGTCTCTGGACTAAAAATTCCCTTAAAATTCCAGATCAATCGCAAGGAAGTCAAGCAACTAAAAGGGGTGACCATTCTGTCGAGTCACTTTGTTCAGTATGTCACAACTCATGCCAAGAACTTGTTGAACCCTTGAAATGTGGACACACTTTCTGCCAGTCTTGTTTTCATCACCCTTCGAGTGACGTTTTCGTATGCGGAAATCAGTGGTGTGTCTGTGAGAGGTCCCAACCAATAGGAACCATGAGTTGGGGGACAGAGAAACAGCCTCTTCGTGGATATGATGATTGTTATACTATTGCCGTTACCTATAACTTTCCCTCTGGAATTCAAGGTGGGTATGAAATAAATAAATCTTATTCAGTTGTTTTTAGGGTGGAATAATGACGTTTCTGCAACTGACGTAAGGACCTATCAAACAGAGCGCCATATACTTAAGAAGGATGAATTGTATTTAGGTTGCGTTGCTGGCACGTATTGTATGGAAAAGGAGACATACTCAGGTTTTGTCGGGTGTTCCCTTTTCCAGACTTTTTATTCAGTGTATCCCAATGTTATCAATTTACAATATTTGTGGACATTTGCACCATGTAATTTGCTCTGATATTCTCTTAATATCTTGTTTTTATTTGTTTCTCACTTCACAGGATGGCAACATCCTGCACAAGGACAACCTTACCGTGGAAGATATTTCACGGCATACCTTCCGAACAACTCTGAAGGACAAAAAGTTTGCCAGTTACTGAAAAGAGCGTTTGACGCTCAACTCCTGTTTACAATTGGTAAATACCAGGTTACGGGCGAGGAGAATCAGATCGTGTGTAAAGATATCGCACATAAAATCAATCGATCAGGAGGACCAGCAAAGTAAGCACAAGTTGCCTTTCAAGTTCAGTCCCAAAAAAGAAAAGATAAGAAGAGAAAAGACATCTAAAACTGCGTCTAACCATATGTACAACAGAGTTTATATCAATGCTAACTCTTAATTATCGGATAGGTATCGTAAACGCAACGGTTAATTGTGCGCTATGTAGCGACCTTATTTTGGCCGCTCATAACATGTGACTTCGCTTAAATTAATGACATCGAAAGTTTTGGTTTTGAATTATTGATGGAAAGTTTTCATCTGCCTAGGAAAAGTAAAGAGATGAAGATTTATATATATATATAATTTTTTTTTTTTAACAAGAACTTACAGTTTTTCAAAGAGGCGTGATGTTTTCAACCCTAATGACTCCTTTACTTCCTCTACAGTCATGGGTATCCTGATTCCACCTACCTTGACCAAGTAAAGGAGCAGCTTGCCAAGATAGGAATTGTTGACGACGCCAACTTACAAGTGTAACTCAGTAGTCAATTAATCAGTTTTTCCGCTTTCTTTGAAATTGAAATTATTCCTGAGTCTTGCTCTAAACAAAGACATTTTACGTAGGGGACCGGTAATGTTTATCCCTTGGGAGCTGGAGGATTTTGTTTGTGTCACGATAAAATCCCCCCTCAATGGCGGTTCACCTGCAGTCAATTTTCAATAGTCCCCAACTTTATACTCTGTTGGTGACGTTTGATCCTCCTTCTGTTCCTCCTGAAAACTCTTTGATCCCCCCCTCAAATCCTCTTCCATCCCCCTTCCCCCCCCCCCCATGATAAATATTGACTGGTCCCCAGGATTTTTTTTTCCTTTTTTTTTTCAATACTTCAACAACATGTAACATGCATCATGCATTTGGCGGTCATATCGCAAGTTTTAACGTTTTTATAAAGTCTTTTCTGTGATCTGAAGTTAAAGTGGGATGAACATTTTCATAAAATATTATTCATATTGCGTCCTTTTCTTCCACAAATGTTTGGCTCTTTTCTCAATTTTTTTACGAGTATTTAGCCATATAATGTCGCGTGGATTTCCAAACGTTGCGAATGCCAGCCACACTGCTTACTCCAATGACAAGCGATATGTATGATCAGAGGTGTAGTAAGCTATTTAATATTGCAAAAAATTTTTCCTTTTTTTTGCTGACCAAAATTTTACACCTGGCGACCGTTTTAAGAATTTTTAGTCGCGAATATTTGAAGAGACTGAAATGGTTTTTCTTGGAGCCCTGGTCAACCGTTTTAGTCTGCATTTTATTTCCACTTGCTTAAGGATTTATGCTTTTAAGAAAGTTTACTTAGAAATTATTTCAAACAGCAGCCCCATTGAAAGGCCTTTATAGGTTTGAGGCTTAAACAAATGTCACATTTATAGCCAGGAAATATTTTAGCGTGCACTGGCTTTCCTGTGAATATTTTAATTTCATGATGCAAGGCCTTCGCAGGTCTGCAGTTAAGTCAATTCGGTTTTTTGGTTTTTTTTGTTTTTTTTGTTTTTTCTTTCTTTTGCTTTTTTTTTTTTTTGCTTTTTTTGTTCATGTAGTTTAAACCCTTTACATTTATGTCTAGTGATCTTGCGTCGTGGCTTTGGGCTGTTGCTGCGTTATTAAGCAAATATCATGCAAAAACGCCCTGGTGATATCATCAATTAAATCTAACAAGAGAAAATGAAGAGACAATTAGAGAAAATCTGAACGTAGTCTGCGATATATCGCCTTCCCTGAAGTATATTTAGTTTGACATAAACTCACGTTTCCTAGAGCGTCTGCACGTTGAATTCTTGGTTTGCAGATATCGATTAGTTGAACGTCCAAGAAAACAGTGTTCGAGATACTTTCTATATATAACTTTACCAGATTAAAACTTCCCGCCGAGGGCTGAACCGGGAGCCTTTCTCTAGAACCACATTTTCTTTCTTGAGCCGATAGTAATAATTAAACTAATGACTGCCCAATGGATTACGGAGAGGGATTAGTCGTCCCAAGAGATTATTACCTGTTAACAATCCCTTAGTCGTCGTCAACAGAGTTAAAAAAATGGGGACAATAGAATAATGACTTCCAGTTAACTGCCACTGAGGAGGGAAGATAAGGTAAATTTGATCGCGACGCAAGTAAAATACTCCAAACCCCCATCCCCCGTCGATCAATAATCATCGACAATGATCCCTTAGTAATTAATATGATTTCATAGTCTCTAAGTATAAAACTGATTGTTGTCCTGGAAAGTTCAGTACGTTCGTGCGTTTTCATAGCTTCCAAATAAAACTTTGAGCGGAAAATTACACATCTGTATTGTTGATGTTGTTGATGCTACATGTGTGTTTGCTATTTACAATAGCTCGCTGTGATTTGTTTTCACTTGCGTTCAATTTCCTTCCCAGCTATCTCTTTTGTGAAGCTCGTTTGAGCGTTGTGGTTTGAAGTTCATTGGTGATTTTTGTTTTCCCCTCGGTTTCGCTTTCCATCTTGCTTCACAGGAGATAACATTCATTTTCATACCCTTGTTTGTTTACCATTATAAAGTTTGCCCCTCAAGCGTATTTAGGTTCTTTTTGGGGGGAGAGGTGAATTTATGGGGTTTAAAGTCGCATAAAGTCAACCCTTAGATTCCTTGAATTGGACCGTTGTGGAATCGAAACATATTCCTTGTTACTATCGCCTTAAAACAAGAGCAAAATAGGCTCGAATCCCGTCGAAGCTTTAATTTTTTTTTCAGGCTTCTTTTGGCAACTGCTTAAAATTGCATCTGAGCTTCGCGGATCATTTTCTCTCTTGAATTTGATCTGTAGGACAAATTGAAATCATTTCATTTGAATTATAACTATTTTTTTTTTCGATTACACTTTTAAAGACTCTACGTTTACGGAAATTTTGTGGCAATTTTTTATTTGCTCATATCTATTTAATCATTTTTCAGTAAAACAAGTAAGCAGCGAGGTTGTACGTACGCTGATAGCTTCATCTATTTACAAAAAAAGGCACAAGACGGTCATTTTGCTTTCCTGGATTGGCAACTTATGACGCTTTGTCGGTCTTTTCCTGGGAAAAAGAAACTGAACTCCACACGATTTCCAGGTATTCAATGCGGCATTCTCTATGTTAAAACAGTCAAAGATTAAAATAATTAATTATACCTCTTTTGTGATAGTTTTTCTTTACTTTCTACAAATGGATAATGTTAAAAATGCCTGTATTTGATGATATCAACTCTTCGTCGATACCCATCCCAGGATAGCACTGTCTCTTTAGTCGACGAGGCGTGTGTCCAAGAAAACCTATTCGCGAATTCCGGACCTGTTTTCGACATTTTTGAGCAATCATGGCGGCTGATAGCACAAGCTTTTTCGACGACGTCAAAAAAAGGTTAGAATGCTGTATTTATCACACTTTCTGCAAATCATGTCTGGAAGATGGCCTCCATCCACAGGCTAGAGGAAAATTGAGTTGTCCGACATGTCGTCAAATTATCGAATGTCCTGACAAAGATGTCAACAGTCTCCCATCCGACCTGTTTAAAAGCAGATGGTTCAAATTGTTAAGGCCTACGGCAGAAATGGGCAAGGAGACTTGCCACACTGCGGAAGCTGTGATGAAAGAAAGTCGGTTGATCTTTAATGCTCGCATTGCAATTACTTCCTGTGTGAAGACCGCTCTAAGGCACACAAAAAATTGAAAGCGCTTAGCGGTCACCATGTTAAAAAAATTAGAAACTTCATATCCAGCGATGTACATGATTACGCTCGGAAACTCAACTTTTGTAACGAACACGGGGATGAAGTAAGATTTTAAGACCTATTTCGTCAGACCAACGTACAGTGAAATTGACGAAGTTATTGTTGACATAAAATCTCTAAAGACGTAAACAGGCTTGACCTTCAACATAACGGACTTACATGATGGAAGTTCAACGTTTCATACAAACCCGAAAGTGCTGAAGAGTTTATTGTGTCGATGTCTACAGCCAAATAATTTATTAATAAGAGCGGCCATTCCAATTGAAAGTTGAAGAAAGAAAACCAATAAAGACAGACATGTAAATCAAGTGAGGCCAGGTATGCTACGATAATTCAGTTTTCCGAGCCTTCGCCGCTCTACGGTATCATCAGGGAATGTAGATGGAATCTTTGAAGTGGAGAGTATATCGGGTGAGATGTTAGGTTAGATAAGAGGGGTTCGGCAAATAATAGGAAAGGACAATGGCAGGTATGTAAATGCGGTAGAAGTATTTACAAAAGGTCTCTGCAGAAAACAAATACAGTCAGGGTAAATAATAGAGTCAGAATAAAAGTCTTTGAGTTCGGCACACTCTTCCTTAGAGTTGATTTCGGGCTTAGGTTTTCTAATCGTTATTATTTCGAGGAGGCGAAGGTTTACTGAGTCATTGTGGTTGTCGATAATGTCAAGTTTTATTTTCGCGTTTTTTGATGTTCCCTTGGCATGCGAGTAAGTGCTTGAACACGGATGATTTTTTGTTGTTTAAACGTACTTTTACGCGGTCGTGTGTATGTCGCTTGGTGCTGCCGACATAGAATTGCTGGCATCTGTCGCATTTGATCTTGTAGATGGTGTTTCTGCGAGAGCAAAACTTTGTGCGTGCGGATAGGGCAGTTGGTGTGTTTACATTCTGGTTCGTCTCTCTTGGTGGATAGGGCGTCTCCCCACATGCGGGGGGAACTTATTTTTCCGGCAGATGTTTTTCCACACTGTATTTACTTTATTTTCTATGGTTTTGGCTGACATGCGGCTTATTTTACGTCACGTGTTGGGATCGTTGAGGTGATCAAGGGCTGTCTGTTTGTATATGTCGCGTTCGATGATGCAGAATTCGTCGGGAAGGTATACTAGGGTATGCTCTTTTAGATGTTGGATTGTCTCTTTAGCGTTTGCGGCGACCAAAAAAATCTAGAGTCTCAAGTTCCAAGGGGCGTCGCTCCAAAACGCGATTAACGAGGTGTTAGGAACTATTTTACAGATCGAGATAACAAACCAAAGTTGACTGTTTGCACGAATCTTTATTCTTGAAAAGCAATCAACCACGAACCACAATCAACGATGAAAATTCACGATCAATTGCACAATCAATCAATCTATCGATCGTAAACTGAAACAACAATGCAACGAAGCTCTATCAATGTAATGAAATGTCGCGGAATGTATAATCGAAGAATCGCGTGTAAAGAACTGGGCCTAAACGTCGATAAAAAGATTAAAAATGACAAAGAGCAATGCAAATAAAACAGTACAAAGTACAAAAGTTTCGATACAAATTTACAAGAATTTTAGGTGGCTGGATAGCAGCCCATTGCTGTCTTTTATATGCGCGTGGTGACGCCGAAAGGCCCGATTACAAAAACCAATAGAAATGCAGAAAAAACAGATAAAAATTGTAACTATGTACGTATCTAAGATCATTCTGAAATTAGTGAACTAATCGATAATTAATTCAATAAAAATGAGCCTTCTGGCTAGTGTCCTTAACAGTCTCTTTGTCTCTGAGGCTGATGTTAGACCATTTATGTTGTGGTTCTACCCTGTGTAGGATAGTTTGCAGCTCGTGGTGGATTCGTCGAAGCTTGTTCTCTAGTTCATTAGATGACACGGGTTTTTAGATGTCTTTCGATTTGGGATACGTGATGAATTCGGAGTGTGGCATGTTGTGATTTTCGCAGGAACGAACGTGGGAACAGCTTTATATAAACGTTTTTCCTCTATAAGATGGCTCTAAACAGCCTGAATGGAATTGTTCTAGTTTTGAATTTGCAGAAACTTTATCGACTTTTCAACAATAGATAACTGGGTCCAGGAGCTTTTGAATTTTGAATTCCTATCAGATAAGCAAAGAATAATTTTATGTTTTATATAGAATGTACCGCTCACTGGTCGGGGCTGAAGACAGTTGAATCATATTCAACAAGCAAGGACTAGGTATTTGTTTCATTCCAATGCTATCATCGACTGATTTCGGGTTGAGATTCTAACTCACGATAGCAGTAGTGTTTCAGACGTAGCTAATCAATCCTGATTCCGCATACTTTTAATGAATTATAACTTAAACACATCAGTAACACACACATTGAAATGGTGCGCTTTTTGTGAAGAGCAAACTGAAATGGGATTCCACACTCTGAGAGAGATTTGTGCAAGATGTGGAAATGAATTTCTTTTTTAATTTTTTATTTTTCAACTCCTTGAAACGCTGCAAACACTCTGTCAAACCAGAGTTTAGATCCTGGCTTCTTTTTATTGCAGAAAAACTTGCTGAGGGATAAGAGATAAATGTTTTGCTAATTTAATGGCACCTTGAATATATTAATAATGATGGATAGCTCCAGCAATTAAAGCTGAGTTATTCTCGATATTGAAAAAGTCATTCAAGCAGATCCTACAATTTTTACGGCGTTTTGTTGCTGTGGCATCTTGATGCAGGTTACTCAACGAGTGACGTTACTTTGATATTTTACTTTACATAGATTTGCTCTTATATAGAACAAAGCCATAAGAAAAAAATAATGCGGTAAGGTGCAACAAATAAGTCAATTCAGAAACAAGTAGGACAAATAAGCTACAAAAAAGTTTGTTTTTAATAACAGCGGCATTAAACCTATCACTATGAAATATTTAGTTCGATTACAGCTAATTGCATGGATAAGATGGCTATGAACAGAAGTAGGCTGTGATTAAGAACCGTTTTAAAAATCTGTTCTGCCTGTTTTCTACAGGAGAAAAACTGTGTGCACAGTCTGTTCTTAAAATCTGACGTTCTTACATGTAGGCTTTAACCGTAACAGAATTTTCAATAAATTTGAATATGTAAATATTTGCCCTGATTTTATATCTCATGGGTTATAGTCAGGTTTCACAACATAACTTCCCCGCAGAATTTAAAATGACCTGCCACATTTGAAATTTCAATCCAGTTTCCCCAACAAACTTCCTCATTTTCTCAGAATCATTCCAACTTATATATGCGTCTTTTCTGTAGCTCTTTGATAGTCTTGCCAGGTGGTATTGAACTCGATATTAGGCGGACTACTGCAATCTAGGGCAAATCGGAATTTCGACTTGCCCTTTACCACGAAAACGTTGGCGTTTTTTGTGGTAGTCTTGAATTCTTCCATAAAAAGAGGAAAGGAAACAAAGAAAAGGTATTCCCTGTAATACAGATAATGTAATATAAATACTACAAAATTTAAATCAAAATTAAGAAACCAAGAAAATAGGCGTGGATTGTCAAGATTTTTTAGCTGCAATTTGCCCCACTTTAAAAAAAATACCTCCAATCAAATTCTAGTTTATTCTGGCGATTTGAAAAAGGATAACAGAAATAATTATAAATATGACTATAATAAACAAAATTTTTTCTGCTCTGTTAAACACAAAGAGAGTTGTGACATGTACACAGTTCATGTGTAAAAGCGTCTAGACCGAACAAAACAGTACAATCACAGAAGACTTCCACCATCAGCTCAGTAGCCCTGATACAGGCATCATCCTCGAGAATTTTTTGCTAACTTTTATCCGACCAGCAGTGAAAAGTAAGTAAAAGAATGAATTATAGCATTCATTTCCTCGTTACAGCAGATTAAACTTTTTTTTTTATTTAATACTGGGGTGGCAAGAGATCTTATTAGTTCGAGTGTGTTCCAACCCTACAAGAGGCTGTCGCAAGCACTTACTGCTGTAAACTTGAGGGCAGCTAATGTGATGCTCTGTCCAGTGATATGCTTTAACAACTCTGAGGGTGGGCTGTTTTGGAAGGGGAAAGAACAGGGAACGGGACAACTTCCTCATTAAGGCTACATTACAACAGTCATCCTGAAAAAATATCCGCCTAGAGGAAAACAAAAACAAAATTACATAGAACAATTCAAGTGGCCGATAACCAGTTAAGAGAACTCAATATTACTCCCGTTTCCCCACTTCTGATTTTGAGTCATCGCTTTTGGTAATGCTTGACTGATTATTCCATGAAGTTGACAATGTTCTTTGTCGTATGGATTTGGAAATAAATTGTTAACGATTGACTTGAAGGGTCTATGATAGAGCAATTTCTCAGACTTCGTCGTATATGTAAAGTCAATGTGCCAGTTTCTCGATAAACTTGGTTATCCTCTTTCTGTCGTTCAAGCGGGCTACCACCGCGCCCAACAAATTGATCGACAGTCAGCACTAAGAAGGGCACAAAAGAAAAATCGCGTTCCATTCGCTCTCACATTTCACCCTCACAACCACGCAGTCAAGTCTATTATTCTTAAAAACTTGAAATTACTTCAAACTGATTCAGAGACTAGTACTATCTTTTCGTAACCTTCATTAATTTCATTCAAACGCGAAAAAAAATTGCAAATTTTTGGTCAGAGGTTCATTACAAACCAAAGACCATCCTAGAATCGCTCACGATGCAAAACTTGTCTTTTCATTCATGAAGCAAAGAAAATGTCAGGATACAAGAGATATATTGAGTTTGTTGATCACTTTAAGTGCACCTCTGCTAATATCGTCTATTGCACAACTTGCACTTATTTCAAAAAGTTATAAATTGGTGAAACAGGAAGACGACTCACTCTGGACTCATTTATATCTTTTCTAAACTCACGGTGTTGAAAACTATCCGGAGAAATTCTTACTCCTTAATCCTCTGAGAAGATTTCTCACCATGGAGATGACATTTGAATTCTCCCTTAATCTCTCCAACTCACTGAAAATGTCACTCATAACTGGGCTTTGATCCGGAGCTGTCATCTCACATCTGTTTATCAGCTTTTTCAGGGAAGTGTTGGTTACCAGCCTGATTTGATAGTGGTGACGCTCGGGATTTGGGAATTCCCTGATGCACATCTTGCACAATACAGTAGCATAACTGTAAACTTCGACCTACTGAGGAACAAAGTCAAAGTAGTAAGAATTTTTGTTACTGTTGATTGTGCAAATAAGCTGAAAGGCAGGGTAATTTAGTGTTATCAACTGAGTTGAAAACGTAAATTGGCCACCCTGAAGAGTTTAAAAGGCTGACGTTTCGAGCGTCAGTAACCCTTCGTTAGAGCGATTGGAGCGACTGAATAAGAAAAAAGGTTACTATTCTGTCAATGAATATAAACACGATAGAGCCCGCGTTTATATTACCTTGCAAACGCATAGGGACTGAAATGAACCCTATGATTTCAATGTGATGAAAGGTACCAGGGATTGTGGCAAATGCGCGAGGAAAATTTAACATTCGCATTGTTAAATGCACTTAAAAGACAGATCTGCCGCTTTTAAAAAGATGAATCATAGCATAGACAAGACTGAGGCTTAATCCCTGCCGTCTAGGCACGATTATTTGCTTCAAGTTTGAGAACAGACTTTTGAAAGACTTTTTGGGGAAGGCAAACCAGAAAGGTTAGGGAGAAAAAGAAGGAGGGGGAGGTGGAGTTCGATGCCTGATCGGGAGGATACCAAGTATGCCACCAGCAATTGAAGCGGAAAACTTATGGTGGCTCTGAACTTCTTCCTTGAAGCTTCTTTTTTCAAGATGTCTTTCTTGCACAAAACGTTTGATAAAAAAAATACGGGAAGTGATGGCGGTCGCTTATTAAGATATGGTCGCCATGGTAGCACTTAAATCAAAGTAAAGAGGCATTGAATGGACAAAGCGTTGCCAAGGTAGATACAGGGTAGTTAGTATCTGTGATGTTGATTGCTGGTGACCATATTGACTATAACTTCAATTGTGTAATTGTATCAGTCATGATGTACACCTCTCTACATTCTCAGACCAGTATTTTTGTTCATTTTTCCGAGATTTAAAACCTCGCCCGAATCCGTTATTAAAACCTCTGAATTCCCGTCAATTCTAACTCATTGATGCAATAGGAGGACAATGAGCAAAGGAATTATTTAATGTAACTGTATCATGGATTGATACGGTCATTAACTTTTATTTTTATCTACAAAGATATACTTCAATTCTAGTCATTTGAGTCTGACTAGTAGTTCACTGCTAATCTTGTTAATTACATTATACTTCCAATCGTAAGGCATAAAAAGCGTCCGAATACAGAAGTTAACTCACCCTATGTGTGCGACCACTTTGGACTAAATTGACGGTTTCAATGCACACAGAAAAATCAAAATGGATTAAAAAGGTTTGTTATCATTAACATTTAAATCAGCTTCGAATAATCTAAATTTGACCTCAACGTAACGCCATCAGACTAATCTTGATAATAGTATTCTCTTACTCCTCCATTTCCAAACAAACCTGAATACAAATCGGTTGGTAAAAATACATAAAAAAAAGTGGTTGGACGCCAATACTAAAACAAAAGAAAACAATCTTTCGTAGTCTTGAACAGACCTAAGACTAAAGCACTATGTAGTAAGTCTCATTGTTTCATGAGGCGTTGGACGAAAACGTCATGAAAATATCTACAAATTTGCGTGATTTAATATGATTCTTTGCTACACTACCGTTTACTGATTTTCTATTGATTTGAATACCTAGTTTGGTTGCCATCGATAACGTGACCTCTACACACTTCTATATTTATAGATTCATATCGAGAGGTTTCTGCAAGCTGTGACATTATCACATCTATGTCCTTACTATTGCATCTTGGAACGATTTCTCCCCTGCCCCTGCTCACGAAGAAGGGGCGAGCCTGCAATGGAGAGAATTCTACTTTAAAACTATATTCTAACTATTTCGTTTTTGAAGGGATCCTCACAGGATCCTAACACTGCTCCAGAGCAGGTATTACTTCGGCCATAGTGGGGCGTTTTCCAGGCTCCTTTTCCACGCACCGCTGAATGAGCTGACGGAAAGTATCATCGGAAACCCGTTTAATCTGATCAGGAAGATCTTGGGGATCCGGTTGTTCTCTGATGCACATCTCACACAGAAGGACACCAAAGCTGTACACATCCACCTGGTTAAAAAGAAAACAAAACTTTCAACAAGCAGTTGAAAAAATTCAAGACATCTTTACCGGTGGTGTAATCCTCACGGTAGTCAAAGTCACGACACCCAAAGTACTGAACTACCCAAAGGAACCCTGACAAACAGCGTGGAAGGTTTCCACAAAGATCATATCTATTTGGAAAAATTATCTGACTCCAGATGCAACTTTACACGTGTCAGTGGCGGGTAAAGTAGTAAAATTGCACCCGGGAAAGGATCGTCACAGTAAAGGAATTGAAGTATGCTAATGCCCTCCCTCGACTGGACTACAGGAAAACCAAACAGAAAATTCAATTTACCTTCGGTGATTGTTTTGGAGTAAAAGCCTCTGGTGCTGAATAAATTATTGCCCCTTTATTTGCTGTCATGCAACGTCGCATAAAGTTTGCCGCTCCATAATCAGACAACTTAGCCCTCCAACACTCGCCTCTTCTCCAAAGCAACACGTTTGCACTGCTGATATCCCTATGAATGATGGGAAGCGGTTTGTTAAGATGGAGGTAGTTAAGACCTCTAGCGATGTCCAAAGTAAGGTTCAAAACTTCCTTGGGAGTTAATTCTCGTTCGGATAACAAACGCCTCAGGCAAGTATCGAGTAACTCAGTGACAAACAATGGACTACCATCGTCATTTGTAGCGCCGATAAACTGCAAAAGATTTGGGTGGCGACAGCGCGATGCGATGTTCATTTCTCGTTCAAATGATCGACGATTGTGATCAGAGAGAATCAGGTCATGAATTTTTTTAACAGCAACTTTGCAACCGCGAAACATTCCTTCGTTAACAATTCCCCAGGCTCCCTTGCCTAAGACTTTTCTGCCAAGAGTAACTTCTTCTCGTAACAGGATCCAGTCGCACGTGCCGCTTCGTAGGAGCTCTGACACTTCTGCTTGAGTTGTAGACAGGGCTAATTGTAAATCTCTTTCAATGGATGCATGCCTGTCCTTTTCTTCTGCAAATTGAAGCTGCTGTCGCCTTACCGTTTCCTCCAAAGCAGTCCTCTGTTCACGCCCCTGTTCCACTTTAAGTCGTAGTTCTCTTATGAGGAGCTCATTTGCTTCGAGCTGGAGTTTGATAGATTGACTTGATACTTGTTCGGCTTTTAATCTTTCTTCCAGTTTGGTACAAGACTTCTGCTGCTGGCTCAATTGATTTTTTATTTCAGATTTCTCTTGTTGGTTTTCTTCAAGAAGCACCTGTAAATTATTGACCGCCGCTTCTTTTTCTCTAATCTCCACTTTCTTTAATTCGCACAAACGAGATGTGTCACGAAGTTGGTTTTCCAAGGTCTTTACCCGCTTATTACCAGCATTCTTCACGTGGCTTAATTCTTGTTCCAGTCTTGTTCTTTCTAGTTGTTCTTCACCTAGAGAGGTCTCTGATATACTGAATAACAGTTTTTCTTTTTCCTTCAACTCCTGTTTTCTCACATCACGGGTACGCTTTTCATCGTCAAGAGCTTGTCGCATCTGTTTTATATCATTCTGCAATGGAGACTTGCGCAACTGTGTAATGGTTAGAGGTACTTCATCAGGTCCGAGAAACTGTCTTGTTTTTGATACATGATCAGCCACTGAAAGAAAAACATCGCCGAAAAAGCGTCAATTTACAGCCCTGGTCAAAAATGTTATTATATGTAACAAACGCGTCCACGATTAAGGAGTATTAAAGTTGTGGACTCTTAATTTAACGGTTTAACCTGTAACCTTTTACAGTCCAAAAAAAAAAAAAAAAGCTAGAAACGGAAACAGCTGAACTCTTTACACCGAGAAACCAAAGTGTCGTCGTGGCTGACCTTACTCACGAACGTAAATAGCGTTCTGATATCTAAAACCAAGAAGTAGGTTTTGAGTTCCGCGTTCCAAACTACTTGGTCTGAGCTCCATGTTCTGAACTCTTTATCCCGAGAAACCAATCTCGTGACAAAAGCATTCCTGAAACAACTATGCGACCTACTTGTGTGAAAACTTGAACCAACGAGCGACTTGTCCTTAAAATAATATATAGATTTAGCCAAGCCTAAAAGCGGAGCTCGCATGTTTTTCTCCCGCACGTCTCAAGGGCAAAACCCCTTACCCCGGCCAGGACTAGAACCTGGGTCGTCCGACTCGGAGCCCAGTGCACTGACCACTGAACTACTGGACAAAGCTGTGGCGTTGGCGTGCCTGCGTGCCTGCGGTACAGTTGACCACAAATGTTAAAAGTAGCACCTTGTACGGTCGGTCGTACGGTCGTAAGTCCAAATTTTTTCGGCTTGATGGGTTACTACTACCATTTTGTATAATTATGGGGCTACGCTCTGCGAGCTCCGCTAATATACCGGCACAATAGGCGGCACAATAACCCACGGTTATATTCAGAGACAATACGTAATGAAGCTCAAACATACCGAGAACTAATTACACTACCAAAAAAGGAGGGAAGGTACAATACAAATGCGAGTTTACCAAGCACTAACACAGTTTTCCGCTGACTGCGCGGTCTGTAGCCGCAACCATCTTCGGCAAGTAAGATGACATAGATAGCATCCATGTGCATATCATCATTCCTTTATAACGCCTGGCAAAAGCGAAGCGAAGGAACGCAATGGGCGTACTGAACGATCCGAACCTTGACCTGTTTACGTCTTTTGGGCGTGACCTTTTTCGGGAGGAACTTTTAACTGAAACATATTTAGGAAATGTACAGAACGAAACTTCCAGAACAGGAAAATTCTACTTTTAAAATTACAGTGCAAACAGATAGAGCCAAACAAACGGCAATTTCATTTCATTGTCGAAAACCGAAAAAAAAAAACGCAACGAACAGAGACAAAGTAACCTGAATGTGCTCTACAGATGCGAGAAATCTTTAAGCGAAACTAGCGGAAGTAGTTCGGGAACAAAACCAAGGCGAATATGAGCCTGACTCCCTTGTGTGCGTGTAAGTGTTACGAAGTTTCGATCGCAAGAAAATACCAACAAACCACCGAAATTGAAAGAAACGCAGGTTCATAATCTGCGAAACAAGAGGCAACCTTGTAATGAAACACTATACGGTCTTTTGTGCGCAGTTTGATTTAACAATGTCCTATTCTTGTGTGGGTGTGCCCGCAACGAACATCATCACAAATTCAAACAACCCGAAAAAGCACAATAATTGTGTATTGACTAAAAATTTTTAACGAAGAACATTTTCAAACTCGTTTGCTCAATATGAGCTCATTAGTCATTCCTGACAAGCCCGGACACTTTTCCATACTTGCACTTTAACTTCTGCCAGAAGTCTCATCTTACAACTACTGAGACAAGCTCGGAAAACCTTATATTTCTCCTTGTTTAATCTTCTCTTCTGATATCAATTCAACCTTGATGATATCATAATTCGTTTCACCAACATCACTAGTTGGTGGTGGTGTCTTCACCTTCACCTGGCGTCTTCAACTGAACTTCAGTTGAAGTCTTCATTTAGGCTGTTATTATACCCAACCGTACTAATACTAATGTATTAACTAAAATTTTTTCATACTCGTTTGCTCAATATGATCTCATCAGTCATTCCTGACTAACTCAATTATGGCTGCTGGGGTATTATTTTACAACAATTTTTGACGCTAAGAAGAATGTTACTAACATTGTCTTACATGATGCATAACCACACACTTACTATGACTGGCAGTCTTTCTCACAATTCTCTCGCTTTATGGTCATGGATAAACAATATGTTCTAATACTTAACAGCATATATTTTATGTTTAAACTGTATTGCTCATTCACTGATTTTTCTATCAATTCATGATGATCATGTGAGTTCATGGTCACAAATCAATCAGTCCTAACCCAAACTCTAACCCTGAGCGATAAGTCTGGACAACATAATTCACAGATATGACTGATGGTATCACAAACACATTACAGCAATATTCTGATGATAAGCATGGCTAGTTCTCTTCTATAAAAAGATGCCAAATGTCAGATTTGACAAGAGTGGTGAGCCCTGAGAATTGCTTGCAGAAAATTGGTTCTGCACATCTTTTTTAAGAGCCTAGTCAGGGAGCCAAGGATGCTGATTAGCAAAACAACCGCTCTAGGCAAAACGTGCATAGAAACAGTACTAGAAGATTATAGGAAAAGTTTGCCCACCTACCTAAGCAAGCCTATATTCCCAACTCAGGCCCTTACGATCTGAACACCAACTCTGAACTAGCTAACACTCTGAGTAACACTTATGGATTCATGATCAACTGGTACTCCCTATCTTCTGCCTTGTTTTGTTGTAATAACTTTTTGAAACCATATTGATATCCTCACAAAATACTAATCGAGAAGGAGACAATAAATCATAATATCAAGTACTGATTACATACGAGAATTATTTCCCTTTCAAAAAACATATTTTCTTTACTAAACGCAGTGCAACACATAAAAATAACAAGGTAACAAGATTTATTGACAGGTTCCTTTTAAGTACCACAATGACTTTTTCCAATTTCCAAGGTAATTGGCATACACAAGGTTAAAGTCAACTTATTATCAGAGAAAAACATATTTGGTAAAGAGAACTTTCAATATTATTATTTGCATGTCAAAAGTAGTACAAAGCTTCTCCTGAGGCTGAGATCTCTGCATTTGCTGTTCACCAAAGTTTTTTAAAATTGTTTTATTTAGATACAAAATTAATCATACTTGACAATAAACTGAACATTTCATGTTGATCTGTGTGTGGATACAAACTTTCTTCCCATTAGGATAAAATTTCTCAATCCTTTGCAATGCTAGCTTACTTGTGAAAGATGCACTGTATTATCAACAACAACAGATAAAACTGGTATCCAATACCATGGCCCTGTAGTACATCCAACTCCAATCTAGTATGTATGAAAAAGTGTTATGACATTATTATGAATTCAAAGCAATTATAAAAATTTTCATCAATTAACAAACAATAGCCAATGCATGATTACTTGACTTAATGATGCATTTAGAATGCTTGACAAAATTCACATCATATGCTAATCAGAGCAAATCAAGTTACTGGAGCTTTCAAATTATACTGCATAATAATTTGATTAGTTAACATGGCAATCTGATGCAAATTACAGTAACTAATGTGAGATAAATCTTACATATGCATTCATCACAAAAATTGAAGGTATTCCCAGAACAGCCATTGAGAAACAAGCAAAATGTCTCATACATAATGCAATTAAGTCACCAGTTCACAGTTGAAGAGTGCAAATCCTTGAGGAAAACATCTTCAAACAGATTTTGTAAATATGTCCATAGGTGAAGCAGGACACTAATTATTAGCGAGAGAATTGGATGATAATTCTTTTACATTCAGTCAAGGCATCATTCCACTCATAACCATACAAACAGTGTTTGTTAGAAATGAGTAAATCCACAATTTAAACGAGAGTTCAAAAACTACTCCATCAAAAGGCAGAGCTGAGCACCTAGAAGAGTTTGTGTTGAGAGAGCTCCAACTATATTACACTGACATGTATTTGCTAAATTATTAAGGGTGAAGGACATGAAAAGTTGAAAAGAATTTTAAAAAGATGCATATGATAACGTGTGGTTAATCAATCTGGAGGTGGACCTGTAAACATAACAGCTACCAATTGCAAGCTTTTGCGTTCAGTTGCGTGTAATGGTTATTGAATATTTCATAATTATTATCTTTTGGAAATGTTGACAAATTTCTCTTTCTTGAGCAAGATAAATTGCAGTCATAACTCTTAATTGCTAGAATTTTTGTACAATTCTGGATCGACCTTTCTTCAAACAGTGCAACTACAATATAGAGTAGGAATTTGCTTATCGAAGCAGACGAACAATCTTTCATTTCGAGCCAGCAAGCAATCAACCAGATGAAAGAGCATATCAACCCCCTTGGTTGTTTCTGGATTGAAAAAAAATTAATAGTAATATTTAAGACAACGTTCAGTTTTAACTCAAACTATTTGACGACAAAATTCTGTAAAAGCGAAGTCATTTCACGAGGCAAGTCTATATAACGGAAGGTTTCCTTAAAACAGAGCGGTTGAAGTGTTAATTAATCAAGTTCTCTCATGCTCAGTTGAGCCTACCCTAAAGAAAGCAACACACTAACTCAACGACGAACGAATTAAATATTACACATCCGCTTTCAAAATACCTGATGGATCGTCGAAAATGATGATTGCGTCTCTTTTTCCTGTGATCTGAATACATTCGATATCTCCGCCACCATGTTTACATTTCTGGAAATGTATCACCAGCTCGACCGGCGATGTATTCGATGGGAAGCCAGTCACATATATCCCCCTCGATGCACTGTCTTCGTTTATGACAATATGGTCTTTTTCGAGAGAGCAATGCTCGTTCTCCATTCTCAAAGCCTACCAAATTCTCTTCCACGAAGCACAACACATCAAAATTTCAGGCTGCTGACTTGAAAAGTGAAACTGAAGATCCAGTATCGACCACTATGCTTTTCACGCATCTGATTTTGTTTTGGT